GGCGGGCGCCTGTGGTCCCAGCTACTTGGGAGGTGGAGGCAGGAGAAACGCTTGAGCCCAGGAGTTGGAGGTTGCTGTGAGCTGTGATGCCATTGCACTTATCCAGGGCGACAGCTTGAGGCTCTGTCTCAAAAATAAATGAATAAATAAATAAAATAAATAGTGTTAGCCAAGAGCTTTATGACCATAACTTCCAGCATACAGGATGGACAAAAAGTTCATGTGCAGGGGCAGCGCCTATGGCTCAAAGGAGTAGGGCACTGGCCCCACATACCAGAGGTCGTGGGTTCAAATCCAGCCTGGCCAAAAAAAGAAAAAGTTCATGCGCAATTGAAACAGTAAACGAATTTAAATTGTTGTAGATGAAAGCAAGGCATTCATCTATAATGAATAATAGAGAAATTACATCACATCAGTTACGCCAGGGGTGTCCAACCTTTTTTTCCTCTGTTGCACACTAGAAGAATAAAAGTGCTCTGGGACTATATATTAAATACATAAACACTAACAAAAGCTAATGGACAAAAAAAAAAGTCCATATATATTTCAGTGATATCCAACACTACATATAAGAAAAAGTCCACACAAAATTATAGCCACAGGTTAAAAATCCCTGATTTAGATAGAAGTCCTAATGGAAACATCAATAAATTAAAGATGGAAGCCACAGATACCCAGAATGAAATTGAGGGGAGACCACTGTTTAAAAGGGTAAGAGGAACCACAGATTAACAAAGGAGATCTCTCCAAAATTTTTCAAAGAAAGGAAAAGTGCTTAAGGAAGAAAAAATTTTGAACAGAGAGAATAAAGGACGGAAGCAAGGCTGATAGTGTTAGATCTTCTTGTTACCATATTTAACCTCACAACACTCCTGAGTGAGAGAGAGAACAATTTTAGAGCTAAAACTAAGGTTCAGAAAGCTTAAATTACCTGCCCAAGTTCACCCATACAGGGAATAGTGTAAGATTAGAAACTAGATCGAGGGGCTTGGTGGTGGCTCACATCTATAATCCCAGCATTCTGTGAGGCTGAGGCAAGTGGATTGCCTGAGCTCACAGGTTTGAGACCAGCCTGAGCCAGAGGGAGACCCCACCTCTAAAAACAGCCAGGCATTGAGGAAGGCACCTGTAGTCCCATCTACTCAAGAGGCTGAGGCAAGAGAATCGTATGACCCCAAGAGTTTGAGGTTGCTGTGAGTTATGACACCATGGCACTCTTCTGAGGGTGACAAAGTGAAACTCTATCTCAAAAAAGAAAAAAGAAAAAAAACTAGATCGGGGTGGACCTTTGGCCATCTAGATCCGTAAGTATAGCCTTCTGAATGAATCCAAACTATCAAACAAAGCCTTTTATTTATTTTATGTATTTTTTTTTTTTTGCAGTTTTTGGTCGGGGCTGGGTTTGAACCCACCACCTCTGGTATATGGGGCTGGCGCCCTACTCCTTTGAACCACAGGTGCCACCCTCAAACAAAGCCTTTCAATAAAAGGGTCTAGAAGACCACATGTGGCCTTAGGACTGCGGGTTTCCCACCTCTCAACCGGACAGTTCAAATTCCCAAAGTCCATGCATGAGTTCTCTCTGCAGTAAGTAAAGGTGAAACTGGTAACCTACAAAGTCTCACTACCTTATTTCAGGACACCAGAAAAATTAAAATTAGAATAAATTAAACAACAAAATACAAATAACGGGCAAGACCTGGACAAAAGACAAAAAGGAAAAATGTATACATTTATAATAAAGTTTACCCATTTTTCTGATACTTGATAATTTATCCTAGTACATAGCAGAAATAAGAACCTACAGCTCTAAACAAATGACTTAAAAA